CCCTTCCTGGTCCACATCCAGAATACTGGCCATAATTCTCAATAGCTATAATTGAATTTCAACACTAAACCGCTCATATGATTTCCAAAATTTATAGATCTGCTTTAATATAACAATATAAAATATTCATACCACAGGCCCTTGTCAGGTAGTAAAGCTTGAAAGTGTCGTCTATATGGTCCCTAATAAATGTCCAGCTGGTATTTAGGACAGGGTATATTAACCTCTATCATTGAATTGAATTAGATTACTGGAAAGCTATATACCTGAAAATATTAGCCTGACCAAAGATTAATCTGTTTTCTGGCCCAACATATCTGAGGAATAGGACATATCCCTGCTCAGCCTATAACATCCTTCAACATCCTACATGTAAATTAAATACTAATGGCACTATGTTTTAACTGGAAAGGGAGGAATTACGGCATACCCAATGAACGTGCATTGCTATGTGTGTGCGCATGCGCACATGTGTGTTTAGGAACAATGGAGGTAGGAGAGAGATAAATAAGATACCTAATTGAAAATCCATCCCCCAGGTGATTCTAACACAAAGGAAGAAGTCTCTTTTGAGCAGCACTGGCACGGACCTTCACAGAATCACCAACAATAAGTTAGTTCATGCCCTTAAATTTATTGACAATATAATAGAAACATCACCTGTGAAACTCATCCTAGGAACTCAGCTCACAATGTCCTTCAACATCCCATGTGTAAATTCTTGCAAGGTGACTTTCAGAATTTGAGAACATGAAAAATTCCTCTGAGGCAAGTTGGTATTCTTCTACTTTCCAGTTATGATAGCTATAAAAAAAACTGTGCCCGTTTTTACCTTGACTGACAGAAAGTTTACAACTGTTGCATTTTCCCTAAAATCTAAAATTTATTTTTTTCTTCTGAGTTTTTTGCCTGAATTTGAATCTTATCACCAACATTATTGGCTAGGTGACCTTGGGTGACTTCTTTAACTTCTCTATGCCTCAAATTTCTGCATCGAAAATTGTGGTTAATAATAATCCTCTATTAATAATAATAATAATAATAATAATCCTTTTAGGATTATTCTGGGAACTATATGAGACAACACAGGTAAGATGCTTAGAATTGTGCGTGCTGCCTAGAGAGAATACCAGAATGATCCAGACTGATCAGCTGTTAGCCATTTCTGCTTTATTTGGAATATTTTTATGGTAAAAGCCACCTCTGATTCTTTTAAAAACAGGTAAGTTACAAAGGACTACACCTGGTTACAAGCCTCCACATAAATATGATATTCATGTCAGGAAATAAAGCTACCCCATGCACCCTGCACTGCTAAGACAGATTATATCTAGAGTGGGGTATTTGTTCCATGCAGGCTGCCATTCTTTAAGCCACATCCAAAACTAAATTCACTTATTTACTTGTTCTTTCCATAAGTTATTGAACCTAAAACTCGGTATGTCAGAAACTACACTCAGATATCCCCTACCAATCCCCAACAGAGTCCTCCTTTCCTTCTTACTGAACACCTCCAACCATCCAGTAACCCAGGCCTTAATTCTTGGTATCTGTCATCCTTCATGCTAAATCATTCATCAGATTAAGTCAGCCTCCTTTCTCACTCTCTCTTAAATCACTGGCTTTTCTACTTCCACTGCGACAACCTTACTCAAGGCTACTTTTGTGCTTTGGGTGCGCAGCCCTACTCAAGTCCCCTCTCATCCCATTCCCACCATCAACCAAAGTGACCTTTTTAAAGACAAAACTGGTCATCTACATCCTTGCTTCAGCCTATCAACAGTTTGCCATTTTTCTTAGCAAAAAGGAAATGTCCCAAGCCTTAACATGTAGCCTTAAACGGCCCTGCATGATCTGAGCCTCATTAACACCCACCCTTTCCCCTAGCCTGATCTCATCCTTCCCTTACTAACCCACACCAGGCTTCTTTCCAGTTTTTAAGCAGACAGCTGCTCCAGTCTCAGGGCCTCGTGTATGTGCTTCCCATGTCCCATCGCCCAGCCAAAGTCCACTCACACATGAGATTTCTGCTTATGCATCAGTTCCTGCTAAGCAGGGTCTTCCTGTTAGCATCCTGACTTTTTCCTGCAGAGTAGCAGTCAAAATTCAGTAACTGCAGAATTAGCTTTTCCACTCTGCCTCCTCAACTAAAACATAAGCAGGGACATCCCTGAGGGCAGGGTCTCGGTTCTCACTGTTTATGGTTACAACCTCAGCAGCGAGCATACTGGTTTTTACACAGCCAGTGGGGTTACTTTTAATTGTGGTAAAAGGCACGTAACATAAAACTTGCCATTGTAACCATTTATTAATGTACAGTTCAGTAATGTAAACACTATTCTCATTGTACAACAGATCTCTAAAACTTTCACATCTTGCAAAACTGAAACTTTACCTCTGCCAGCCCCTAGCAACCACCATTCTACTCTCTGTTTCTATGAGTCTGCTTCATATAAGTGGAATCCTACGGTGCTTGTCTTTTAGTGGCTGCCTTAACTCACTTAACATAGTGTCCTCTAGGTTAATCCATGATATAACATGCAACAGGATTTCCTTCTTTCTCAATGCTGAGTATGTATTGATAGGTACATACATATTCCATTGTATGTATGTACCACATTTTCTTTATTCACCCATTAATGGACATTTAGGTTGCTTCTATCTCTTGGCTGTTGTGAATAATGCTGCAGTGAACACGGGTATCTAAATATCTCTTCAAGATCTTGCTTTCAATTATTTTGTATATATACTCAGAAGTGGGACTGCTAGATCATGTAGTAGTCCTATTTTGCTGTTGTTGTTAAGATGGAGTTTCACTCTTGTTTTCCATGCTGGAATGGAATGGCACGATATCTGCTCACTGCAACCTCTGCCTCCCAGGTTCAAGCAATTTTTCTGCCTCAGCCTCCAAAGTAGCTGGGACTACAGATGCGCACCACCATGTCCAGCTAATTTTTGTATTTTTAGTAGAAACAGGGTTTCACTGTGTCATCCAGGCTGATCTTAAACTCCTGACCTCGTGATCCACCTGCCTTGGACTCCCAAAGTGCTGGGATTACAGGCGTGAGCCACTCTGTGCCTGGCCAGTAGTTCTAGTTTTAACCTTCTGTGGAAGCTCCACAGTGTTTTCCAGAGTGGTTGTATCAGTTTACCTTCCTACCCACAGTACACATCATCTCCAGTCTCTCCACATCCTTGCCAACACTTGCTATTTTCTATTTTCATGAGAGTGGATATCCTTATAGGTGTGAAATGACACACAGGTAATAACTAGCAGTTAATGTCTACATATACAGAGGCTGCACAGATAAGTTAAGGCATAGCTTCTACTATCAAGGAATTCACACAATAATGAGAGAAAGAGTAACACACAAACAAGGTGTGTACTAAAGGTACAGACAACAGAGAGAGAACTGTCAATTCCCGCATCCAGTAGGCAGTTAAGAATATGAGTCTGAGATTCAGTGAAAGCTATGAAGTGGACACATAAATTGAGAGTTGTCAAAATAAAAAAATAGTATATCTTACCATCTAAATAAATACTACTCTTTCTTATGCAAAACTGGTATTCCAAAAATACCAAATTTCTTTTTTTTTTTCTTTCTTTCTTTTTTGAGATGGAGTCTCGCTCTGTCGCCCAGGCTGGAGTGCAATGGCGCGATCTCAGCTCACCGCAACCTCTGCCTCCGGGTTCAAGCGATTCTCCTGCCTCAGCCTCTCGAGTAGCTGGGACTACAGGCGTATGCCACCACGCCCAGCTAAATTTTGTAATTTTAGTTGAAACAGGGTTTTACTACCTTGGTCTGGCTGGTCTTGAGCTCCTGATCTCAAGTGATCCACCTGCCTTGGCCTCCCAAGTGCTGGGATTACAGGCATGAGCCACCACGCCCAGCCCAGATTTCTTAATGTAGTATATCCTATGTCTACTAAGATAACATGTTATCCTATGTATTGTACAACATGCTGAATTGTCCCTCTGCTTTACAAAGATTATATTATATGCTCCTATGAATCTAACAGTATGTAATCTCAAAAAAAGTAGGTAGTCCTAACCAAATTCCCACCACTTCCTTTTTTGCAGCTTTTAGGACCAACAGAAGAGCACATAATTGGAAACAATATCAAGACCACCTTATAATTTATAGTCTAAAAAACACCTAGTTTATTTAGTCAAATGTGCTATTACATCTGAGAACAGTACTCTAAACAGAGTTCTATTAAGAATACTGGTGTACTACTCAGCAGGCAGCCATGCAATTTAATTGTCTTTAGTCTAAACATGGAATTAAACCACAAATTAGATACCAAGTATTTAAAGCAAAGCAAGTAGAGAAAACTTAAAGTATATATAATTATCACCCTTACTATCCTCTATTTCATTAGTAGGACGTGTAAATACAAACAATGATAGCAACATAGGCAAATAAAATTCACACTTCTGTCCTTCTATTGATTGCTCTGTTCTACTGACTGTAATTTGAATGTCAGATAATGGAGAGTAGCCCCTTTCACTGTGAGCAAGTGTTCTTGGTATTCTCAGACAGAATCATTCCAATAAGCTACCGTCCCTGCTTTTCAGGTATGCCTTAATACCTAGCATACAGGTGACTGCACAATATGAGCTGATGTGATCAGCTTCTTTACTTACCTGGTAGCAAAAGGCCGGATTGAGTGACTGAGAGCCAAAAGTGATTGAAATGATACCATTTAGTCTGTGTTATCCTTACGCCAGAACATCAATTTTCCACTGATGACATTCTATTCTGTCTGCTCATGTTGTAAGTGCAAAGCACGTGCACACATGCACACACACATGCCAAAAAGCTACAGGTGGTTTCTCTCTACACAAGACAGTTTTTCAGTATTTACCAGATTTCACAGTGAAGTCATAATAAACACCTAAGTTATTTTATAGCTAAATTTTAAACTGAGATAAACTGTTTAAGAAAAATAAATACAATATGTTCTAAAAAGATACAAATAAACTTGAAATCACTTACTTTCTGCTCAGGGCTTTCCTGAAACAAAAGTCCAAAGTAGTCCTTCTCCAAGAGATTGAGGTGTTCACACACTCTGTCAAATAACACTTGTCCCTTAGCACGTTTCTGGAGAAAAAATAGTAAGTTTACTTTTCAAGTAGTAAAGATTCCAAGACTGCTATAAATAAAAGACATCACATCAGATACATGATTTATTATAAATTAACATTAAATATTTGTTTTATCATTTTCTAACAATATAAAAGTGATTAATTTTTTAACTTTAGCCCTCCCACCCTGCACACATATACAAAGCATAAAATCTAAAACAAAAGCATAAGCAAGCACCATCTGCTTTATTGCTACTCGATATAAATATAAAAAGGACTAAAAAAGCAAAATGTTAGCTGTTCATTTTCTTATTTTAAAAATGTTGAAACTGCTTCCCTCAATTCCTCAAGGTGGCTCATATCTATAAAGTATACTACTCCCTAGGAAAATCAGTTAGCTCTAGTATTCAGTATATACTAACATAATTTATCCTATCAGCACTTAAGGTTTATGTTTTATTTTTGTTCTATGGTATCTGTAGAACAGACTTTTTTTTCTATACAAGTTATGCTTCTATTTACAATTTTCCTAGAGAATGATACGGTGTTCGCTCCCTAGGATAAATTCTAAAAATACAAGATAATGGAAGTGGGACAAGAAATCAACTGCCTCTAAGGGCTTAACATATTTTTACCTTGAATAGATTTTTCTTTTTAATTTAAGAAGCTGCTATGAACAGAGATGTAGGAGTCTTTGACAGCCATAGAAGAAAAGCTCATTGTCTAATCAATGGCAAAACATAAGCAGAGTGGGGACTCATTTCCAATTAAGATGCACACCCCTGGAACACAACTGTGAGGTCAGGTCAGACACACGCCTCCTCCCCAGATGCACTGATAAAAGCCACCAATGGATTGCTAGTGAAAAAGAAAAAGCCATCAGACTTTTCCATTCTCAAAATGAATGCCCTCTCACTATTAAAACGTGCACTAGTTCATCCAGTGTGTGAAAATTAATGTTCCCCCTACATATATCTTGAGGAGGAGAATCTGGTACTTTTATTATTATGCCTTTTATGGTAACACTTCTCAAAAGAATAGAATTGCATCAAACTGTAAAGGGAAGAAGGAGAATGCTACACAGATTACATTATTTCAACATAATAAGCAATGTAAGACGAGGCATGGTAGCTCAAGCCTGTAATCCCAGCACTTTGAGGCTGAGGTGGGCAGATCTCTTGAGCTCAGGAGTTCGAGACCAGCCTGGGCAACATGGCAAAACCTCATCGCTACAAAAAAAAAAATGCAAAAATTAGCCAGGTGTGGTGGTGTGTGCTTGTTGTCTCAGCTACTCGGGAGGCTGGGTGAAAGGACTGCCTAAGCCTGGGAGGCGGAGGCTACAGTAAGCTGTGTACACGCCACTGCACTCCAGCCTGGGTGACAATGAGACCCTATCTCAATACTCAATAAATAAATACATAAATAATAAGAAATTTTAAAAAGCAATGTGCCATATACATACTATAGGCTCACAATCAGGATTTTACAGCCAATTAAATCACTGGGTATGCTTAAGATAGATATGTGCTTGTTTGTCTATACGTTAAAAGTATATACAGATACAGTGTAGAGAATAAGAGCATTCGGCTCTGTGTGCCAAACACCATGGTTCTAAATACACTTCCACTATTTATAAGCTATGTGACCCACAGCAACACACTTAACGTCTGCTTGCCTTAATCTGCATATCTGTGAAATGAGGGTAACAGATACCAGATACCACAAGTACTAAAAGAGCTGCAGTACATAACAATTGGTTATGATGCTGTTTGAAATTAGGGTAAAAAAGATATTGAAGACACTTGATGTCTCCAAAGACACTTCTCAGTTCAAGGAGAAAACATCCTCCAATTCTAACATTAGCTTCAAGTCAACTCTTATTAATAATTCACACTTTCTCATTGGCTTCCATTTCAAAAATAGGAACATACCCTCATGGACAGAATTCCCCTACAGGATTAAGAGGAAAAAAACACCCACATAGCTCATCACTACAATTTAGTGTTGGTATGCTGGCCGTACATGAGGTTTTGGCATGACAGCTAGACCAGTTCCTCTATCTGACCTAGTTCCTCTATCGTTCAACATTTTGTAAGTATTTTCTATTACTGGACCAGTGTGACAATGGAAAACCACTTAGTCTCCCTGACTGTAAAATGAGGATAATAACTCCCTTAGAGCTCATGTGAGAATCAAATTAACCCAGTGAGATGGAATATGCCTCAACCAATCATAGCTGTACTCTGCTGTCAAATATTCTTTTGCTATCCCACATCTAACAAACAACAAAATGTTTCTAGATGCTAAGACTGCTTCTCTACTATTCTTTCCTTCTCTCTCCAGGAAACAGATATTCTCAATGTTTCTTGATGAGATCCTGATTGCACATACAGGTTACTTAAGCTTCCATCTGCCTCTCCACCCTCAATGAACTCAAAATCTGGAAGGAAAAGCAAAAATGCAACACCATGAAGCACATGTTGAGAAAGCGATGCACAAAGTGCTACTGGAACACCAGAAATGGGATGAGTAAATGAGAGTTAGAGAAATTACAGCTTCACCAAGAATATGATATCTGAAGTGAATCTTAGAGGAGGAAATGATTTTTTGAGGTAGAGAAAACAGATATTCAAAATAACTTACTTTTTACTTTGGATGTTTATAGAGCTTACTTTTTACTTTGGATGTTTATAGAGATTGAGTCAATTTCTGTTCAAAAGACACTGGAGGATACAGTGAAATGAAAAAGGAGGCCATCCAGAATAAACAAGCCATGCAATATGACTGCTGGTTACACTGTCCAACTCTCAGGTGACTGTGAAGGCTTGCCAAGCTAAGACTCAATCTATATTGATCCATATGTGTCTGTTCCTATGTTAAGATACCGGGGAATCAATGACGAGTACAACAAACACGGTCTCCGGAAATGTATAAGCAACTGGCAGAGAAAGAAAATAACTGGGAAGCCAAAAATAAAGCATTATGTATCTACCAATTTGGACATAACCTGGCCCAACTGGCCCAAAGAGAAGTGACCAATGGCCTATGAGACAGCCTGATACAAGAGCTCTGCTCAATGACAATGTTTTACTCTGGTGATAAGGAATAGCAGATACAATCATAACATCCCTCAGGGAGTTTAAATACAGAACACACACACACGCACACGTACACACACACACATGGTCATAAAGTGGTATAAACACAGTGGAGACGGCAAGAAGGCTATTGGCAGAAGCCAGTATCAAGATGCCAACCTATATTTGCCAAAGTTATGTTCTGCTGGTCCCACTCGTCCCATGAGTTATATATACCCCTCATTCCCAAAAAGAGCAGTAGAGTAGGACAAGAAAAAATCTGCTTATTGCATGTTATTACTGAGCATCAAAACATCTATTTGTGTAACAGATACCCTAAGGAGTTCTGCAATGCAAAAACCCTGTTTCCCATCATTCCTTTCACTTAGGAAACTTGACATTTCCCAAAACTATTTAGCAAAAAAGCCCACTATTTTTTAATACAACATTTACTAATGTACTCTACAACAGAATTACTGTTCTAAAGACCACACCTCAAGAAATGAGATAGGAAAGAATTACAGGTTGACCATCCCAAATCCAAAAACCCAAAATATGAAATGCTCCAAAATCCACAAGCTTTTCAATGCCAACATTATGCTCAAACAAAATGCTCATTGGAGCATTTCGGTTTTCCAATCTCTTGATTTGGAGTGCTCAAGTATTACAAAATCTGAAAAAAAAAACTTGAAATATCAAACATTTCTAGTCCAAAGCATTTCAGATAAAAGATCCTCAACCTGTACCACTATCTGACCCTAACACAGATGTAGACACTGGTATCACACCTGTTTGATTCAAAAATGCCAAAAGAAAATCCATTTTAAACTAGTCCAAGACGTGCCGAGCTGCCTGAGAGAAGCCTGTGCCTAGCTGCCTAAGAGAAGCAAGAAATTCTCATAGACAAAAATCTCAAAAAACATAAATTAAAAATCACAAAATCAGGAAACCAGACACCATAATTAAAAGTTAGACACAGTATCAGAATTACATCTTCAGAGACTGCACATAATAGAATTATCAAGTACAAAACACAAAATATGTATGTTTCATGTGTTTATAAGAAATGTTTTAAAATATGACTAAGGAAAAAGTGACTATCAAAAAGCAGGTTTTCAAAATAACAAAATAAAACACATAGAAATGAAAACTATAGTAACTAAGTTATACTCCAAATGGACAGGATATGACACAGCTGAAGAGAAATCCAGTGAACTGTAAGACAGATCTGAAAACAACTATCCAGAATGTGGCTGAGAAAAACAAAGGGAAGGACAATATGAAAGAACTTCACAGACATGGAGGACAGAATGAGGGGTCTACAAATATCTTGTCAGAGTCCTAGATGGAGATGAGAGAAATAAAGGAAAGGCAATATTAAAAGAAACAATGCTGTAAAACTTCAAATTAAGAAAGCTCACTGAATCCCTAGCAAAATTAATAAAATTTATTAATCTACAATGATTTCATTCTACTAATTTATTATTTATACTCAACATTTAAAAGGTTCTAACATGTATTACTTTTCTAAATAGCTATAATAAAGTCATCAAGACAAGAGGGAACTAAACATAAGCTAGAGAATAAAAAGAAGGACTGAGAAGGAAATTTGTAACAAAAAAAAAAAAAAACACAGAAAACTCACTCCTAAGGAACCTAAAACAGATCCGCTTTGGAGGCTTATTCTAAAAGGCAAACAAAGTAAGTAGCACATTTCTTCTTACATTCTAAAAAGCATCAGATTGTCAGGAGACACATACTAAATGCTACATGTGAATGGTCCAAGTTACAACATTTTACAGTACTAATCTGCAATCAAACTTGATTGGGTAGGCTTGGATGGCAATACCATCCAATGGCTCACAACTTTGTCTTCACACTGTTCACAAAACACTCCATAAATAACAATTCTGTTTGGGGTGGGGGTAAAGAACCAAGG